ACACACACACACACACACACACACACACACACACACACACACACATGCACATGCACGTACGTGTATGTGCGTGCGCGCGCGCGCGTGTGTGTGTGTGTGTGTGTGTGTGTGTATGTATCAAAAATAAAATTGTGTTCTATTAAGTATTTACGTTGCTCTATTTATGTGTGTTTTATTATAAGAATATGTTATTGTAATTTGAATAATTTCTATTTTAATAAGAAATAAGAGGGAAGAAGTATGTTCCATTATATATATGTACATTCCATGTTATTTGTAACATTTTGCAAAATAAAGTATTGTTTAAATGCGACGATGGGGTCATATTAATTGGCATATATATTGACTCGTTGATAGAAAAGTGATGCAAGTAAATAATTAGCATTTTTGAGATTCTATAGGATCGATTTTCTTTCATTATTTGAAAAGTACTTATTTTTTACTTTTATCGCTTTTCTATCAATACAGCAATATTGTAATATATAAAATTTTTGATAACAAATGGTTTCTTCACTCAGGGAATTGTTTTGCTGTTTCAGCTAGAATTCTAAATATTGTACTTAAATTATATCGCTGTTTTTTGTATCTGTCAAAAAATTGTCTGTCATACGTAGAATTTATAGCAGCAATATTCTAAGAATGTATGCAAGAAAATATAGGTCTCATAACCAAATATGATTGGAGTCTGGATTGGAGTCTGGATTAATTAAACGTCATAAAGAAACTTTCTTGCTAAATTTGACAAATAGTTCAGATATAATTTCTGTCTCTCTTATCTATATATTAATTAAATACAAAACATATGTGGTATCGTAGTGCTTACTAATCACTTATCCATTTTAGCTAATTTTTCGTACATAAATAATTCTCGCTATAATTGCAAAATTACTTTTTTCAGTGTTTGTAATTTTCCTTTATGTATTTATATTTTTACTTTTTTGCAGAATAATTTAATTTCTATTGATTTTATTTTGCTTAGTAAATTTTAATTTAAGTTTTAATGAAATAGAATAAAGTATTTTAACTATTTTAAATAAATTTTTTTAAATAAATTTTGAATAATTTTTATTAAATGTTTTTATTTGGATAGGTTAAACCAGTGCTCGGCATTAGCTGCACATTTCGAGCCGATTCCTGAGGCGATCCCCCCCACTACCGCTCAAAACTTTACGTGCGCCCGCCTGAGTGGTTCGGCCGTCGAGTCTTGAACGGTAGTGGGGGGTCGCCTCAGGAATCGGCCCGAAATGTGCAGCTAATGCCGAGCACTGGGTTAAATTAATTATTTAATGCGATTCATTTGCCGTCTGATGCGAGTACTAATATAAAGTGAGTGTTCGTATGATACGAATA